GACATACCGCTGTACCACTGGGGGTGGGCCATAAATTTGAAATAAAAAATTCATTAACTCGGGCCCACTAGTGTACAGCGGTATGTCTGCAGACTTACAACGCTAGAATCCGGGTTTCGATACCCGTAGTGGGCGGAGCACAGATAGCCCATTGTGTAGCTTTGTGCTTAATTACAAACAAACAAACAATTATTGCTAATACACAGGAATTAATAAAGTAGCCTATTCAGGATGTATCTGAATTCACGGGTATATTTGACCTTTCTCAAAAGGTTTCACATCTTATTTGTGGCCTAGTATGTTCAAAGTAGTTTTGAAGTTTTTTGGGTCACTGGTAGTTAATTTCTTCATTGAAGTAGCGCCTTCATTATGACTGTGTTACAAATAGATGAATTTGTATGTGGTAAAATCACTGGATGGATACTAATATGCACAACAATGTATTCCCTTGGATGAAACTTTTACCCCCCCCCCCAATTTATTTTGTCGCACTTTACACATAAAATTTTCGAACCTTTTTCTTCCAGCATGTTTTCATCACGAGCACAAGCCCACCTCTGGCACAGTAGTAAGCTTGAGGGTTCTTAACGCTAAAATTCAGAGATCAACATCTCTTCGGCGGGTGCAGTGCAAATAGTCAATCATCTAGCAAAGTACAAGTACAAATATTACAAATGGTAATGACGTTCAACGAGCTGTGTTTCAAGACATATCTTTAGTAGCTTATAAAAAGCTAGACTATTTATAATTAATATGTTTTAGTATATCATATATCATTTATAATCTTAAAATAGCATACTTATAAGATATCCTTTCACATACGACGAGCATTGAAATTAATGTTACAGATAAAGCATTAATATAAATAAATACTTAACAAACCAACACTAGTTTAAAACACCGCCCATTATTTGAAATATATTAACCTTTAAATTGACCTTCTGAAATTAGGCGGCGGGTAGTGATAATGTTCACAAAGTGTTTGGACTTGGTTGGCCACATTACCAACTCGTTTATAGTAGGAGACCTCATATTATACAAGCAACAGGAGCAAGAAAGGAGACGCCAGAAAGCTCTTCTGAATGCCTTATTAAAAATTGTGTAAATGATAGGATTAATGGTAGATGACACGTAGCCTAGCCACAGGAATGTTGTGGTGAGGTACTCAGGAAAGCTTGTTGGATCTATAATAGGGAACAGAATATTCAAAGCAAAGAAAGGAGTCCAACAGGTGATAAAACAAAAGAAAACTATCCCAAGAACTTGGGTCGCTTTCTGTTCGTTCATCACCTGCATATGCGACCTACAGCGTAGGGTATAAACAATACCACTAGTTTCTTTAAATTTTATGTGGGATCTTTTTTTGAGGGACTCCCGAAAACACCCATAGTTCGCACGTGAATTTGCCTGACTGTCTTCGAGGATTGTGTTTTCATTGTTGTTATCCCGAGATCGACGAGTTGCACATCTATCACACTTATTGCATTCTATATTTGACGTCTCACTTTTGTGTGGATTGTCTTGTAACAGGTGTCTGCGGGCTCGCCGTATAAAGGATACTTTCCGACCAGGCCTTTCCTCACAGAACTTGGCCTTCTGTCGTAACAGACGGACTGTGAGAATATAAGACGTCACCATGATGAACATGGGGATATAGAAAGCAGACAAAGACCCAAAGACGAAGAAAAATCGATTGTTGATGGCACACATTTGAGTTGTTGGTTGTATATTTTCGGTGTCAGTGAAACCCAAAACAGTAATGGGACTCGTTATTGTCATGGAGATTAACCATGCAATAGCAATCTTAATGGTTACCTTCTTTTTAGAGTTCTTGCGAGTCTTCAGTGGGCTGCGTATCCCCAGATATCGGCCGAGAGAGATAAAACACATATGGATGATGGAAGATGTGCAACCAAGGACGTCACAAGTCACCCAGATGTTGCACATTGACGGTCCAAATGGCCAGTAGCCTTAAGAAGGAGAAAAATAAAACACTGCGTTATCCCTTAAGAAATTTTGCTGTAGATTAATTTGAATATTCATAAATTTAATTAAATCATTTCTGTAAAAATACAACCAACGGAAAGTATATAGATAGACTTGTTAATTACTAACATATATATTCTGCATAAAGAAATAAAAAATTATATTTAAAAAAATGAAATATATATATTTTAATGTTTTACAAACTTATTGCCTGTTTAGAACTTATTTAACAGTAATTAAAACGTAAATAGAAAACTATTTCCTTATGCAGAACATATGTAGGAGCTATTAAGGAGATATATGTTTCCCTTTAGTTGCGTTTGTATATATACATATATATAAATTATGGAATGTGTTTATATATAATCATATAAACCATGTGTATGAACAATAATTAAAACTTGCACATAACAATATTTGACAGTAATTATAATTTGCATTTAATAATTGTACGGGTCCAGTGCTTGCTGTGTTAAATACGGTTATGTAAGATTAAATATATACTTTTAATCTATAAAGTTTGTTTATTGTATAGTAGAATTATAAACTTACCAATTCAAACATTTTACACTCAATGGGTAGAAATATACTAATGATAAAAGCAAGAGTTACAATACACTCACAACAAACAAATGCTTTACCCTAGATTTGTATTTAGGGAGCAAGTGGAAGAACCAAAACAGCAACGAAATTTCCATTTATAGATTATAAATTTTTATTCGTCAAAATTAATAAAAAACAAAACAAAAAACGTATGCTCTGTGTAGTGTTTCTAGCTGATCTCTAGTGTCCTCAATAACAATACCCTTGATGTGTAAAGTGCTGGCCCGGCATGGCCAGGTGGTTAGGGCGCTCGACTCGCAATCTAAGGGTCGCGGGTTCGAATCCCCGTCACACCAAACATGCTCGCCCTTTCAGCCGTGAGGGCGTTATAATGTGACGGGCAATCCCACTATTCGTTGGTAAAATAGTAGCCCAAGAGATGGCGGTGGGTGGTGATGACTAGCTGCCTTACCTTTAGTCTTACACTGCTAAATTAGGGACGACTAGCGCAGATAGCCCTCGTGTAGCTTTGCGCGAAATTCAAAACAAACAAAAACATTGTAAAGTGCTATCTGGTAATCTCAGTTTTGTTCAAAGCTGCCCCCCTCCCCGGCAAAATAAAGTCCCTACGCCACTAAAACACTTTTATGTAGGCTACATACCTCTAATTATTAATTTAGATAACAAAGAAGACATGAACTAGAAACAATATAAACATCTAATTAAACATCTTATATGGTCCTACATAAATAATTATCAGTTCCTGTTAACTTACTCGGTTTTAAATTGCTTTTGATTCAACAGAATTTGTAACCAGTATCACTTAATAGTCCTGACGGAGGAATATTTTAACTTAAAAAAAAAACTCCTTGACAGTTTTCTATTTTACAAAAGCCTGCGAACAATGTGTACAAATTAGTACCATTTGTACTATACGGATCTCACATGATCAGACAGTGGCGAACTTTGTCGTTTCTAGATTCAGGAGAAACCCGGTAACAGAGTCAAGCAGTGTTGAGCATTACAATCCAAATATTTCAATTGAAACAATAGTTTTTTTGTTTTACGGCTTTTTATGTGTTTCAACTCCCTCTCTCGAAAACACCAGAGCGCCCCACAGTGGCTCAGCAGTATGTCTGTGGACTTACAACGCTAGAAACCGGGTTTCGATACCCGTGGTGGGTAGAGCACAGATAGCCCATTGTGTAGCTTTGTGCTTAATTACAAACACAAGAGCTTAATATAAAGAGACTGAAACTTACAGGTGTCCATCTGTTTTGAAGCAATCACCCCTCTTGATTAGTTACGTGATTCACCATATATATTTTATGCTTTGTCTCGGCCAAGCAGAACATGATCATTTTCAGTCTTAGATGAATATTGTGATATACAATTCAACGCTTCAAATGAAGAAAAATATATTCATTTTGTGTTTATCTTCTAGCAAAGCCACATGGGGTTATCTGCTGTGTCCACCGAGAGGAATCGAACCCCTGATTTTAGCAGTGTAAATTCGAAAACTTACCGCTGTCCCAGCGGGGGACATTATTTTTTTCTCCCAAAACATAGTTTTTTTAGAAAGACAACCTTACTGACAGATACCTCACCTTCTTATCAAGCTGTAAGAAATGAAAACAAAACTCAAAACTTAATAACACAACAGAATTTGTAATATATACATGACTTGATGCTCACGATGAAAAAACATTGTAAGTTTAAAAAAAACGTCTAGGATATTTTCTATATTTTACAAGAAAATCTATTAGCATGATTTATCTCCGAATTTTTACTTCATTTTTCCAAAAATGTTTTCCGACAATAGCGCATATCACAAGCTGTCAAGCATTAGCAGCCAGCAAAAATGGAAAACGAATTATTTTCATTTAAATACCAGGACTAAGAAAAAACATCTAAGGCGAATTATTGCTAAATTTTATATCCAATCTATTTTCAAAATTGACCATGTTTACTTAGAAAAAGTCACGTTGTTCACATCTTGTAGTATGCAGTATGTTGAAGAAACACAACAAGAACCACTTTGTTGACATCTTATAGTTAGCAGTACGTCGGAGTAGCACAATACGAACCATGTTGTTCACATCCTGTGGCAAGCAGTATGTCGGAGTAGCACAATACGAACCATGTTGTTCACATCCTGTGACAAGCAGTATGTCGGAGTATCACAACCAGAGCCATGTTGTTCACATCTTGTGGTATGCAATATGTCGAAGTAGCACAACCAAAGCCATGTTCTTCACATCCTGTGGTAAGCAGCTTGTCGGAGTAACACAACCAGAGCCATGTTCTTCACATCCTGTGGTAAGCAATATGTCGGAGTATCACAACCAGAGCCATGTTCTTCACATCTTGTGGTATGCGATATGTCGGAGAAGCACAACCAGAGCCATGTTCTTCACATCCTGTGGTAAGCAGTTTGTCGGAGTAACACAACCAAAACCATTTTTATATCCTGTGGTATGCAATATGTTGGAGTAACACAACCAGAACCATGTTGTTTACATCCTGTAGTAAGCAATATGTCAGAGCAACACAAACAAGCTTATACAATTTTAGCATTCAGTACTTCAATCTTAGATCTGCAAAACCTAGAAAATGAATATAGTTTAACATGGAATGACATTATGGTCACAAGCAAAGAACAAATAACCAAAGGAGCTGCCCTTTGAAACTACCTGGACCATTGGATGTAACAGCAATACTGAATTTACTATATAAATTGCTCTATAGTATTCTGTCACACATATGGAGTGTTAACTTAGAACTAGCAATATATTTTTCATATATACGTTTCCATACAATTATTCCAAAGATTTAATTTATTCCTTAATTATTTGTTTATTTAATTATTGAAATCTAGTTGACGTTGCTTTGATTCTTGTGAAGTTATCGTTTTAGGTTGTGAACATTCTTCAAAGTTGTGTTAAAACACATACTACTCAATATCTTACTTCCGATGGTTCCGCCAATGGCTCAGAAATAAAATAGGTATTTACGTCCAAGAGTTTGTTTTAATTTGTGTTAAATTTTGGGACAGCTTTTAACGAGTGGTCAAAGCTTACCTATTGTCAGCACTAATGGCTTTGTAATCCTTTCTATCGTAACCAGATGGGGAAAAAAAGTTTCTTCCAATTTATACTTCACCTAAAATCAATGTAAGACAAATCTGAATCTGTGTTAGGAATATGTTGGATTCGTGACTATATTCTAATCACTGATCGGATCTTATCCAATAAATCATATAATTAATATATATAAACAGAACCATTGTGTTTTCAAATATTAAAATTGTTAACACATTATTTCATTTAATACCTCTTACTCGATGCTTATATACAATCCTGTGTCTTAAGCAACCTGTTTATACTTCCTTCTAAATTACTTTTATGCATATCCCTATGATAATTCCATTTTTAACCAATACTAGTATATCAGTTACACTAGGCCAAGTTTTTTAATGATATATCAACATAAAACAGATTAGGAAGCATTTCAGATAAAAAAAGACTAATAAGAAAAATCCCTACTAAAAATCCGACTAAATTCCTACTTTTATGCACATACATACACACACACATACATACAACAGATTTGTATATATTCTTACTTAACATATATTAAAAAGTACCACACTCAGATTGGTAGATATCCTACTTAAAACAGATTTGTATGTATTCTTACTTAACATATATTAAAAAGTACCACACTCAAACAAATTGGTAGTTATCCTACTTAAAACAGAATTGTAAGTATTCTTACTTAACACAGATTGGAAAGTACTCCACCTTAAAATACATAGTAAATGGCCCACTTAAAATAAATTTGTAGTGCCTTGTTTTAAACAGATCAATAGACATTCCACATAAAAGCGGGATGTTATGTATCCACGTTTAAAAAAGTTTTAAAATACCAGGGTACACAAGCTTAAAAACATATTGAAATGATGAATTAAAATAAATAGCCGATTATCTCGGATTGAGAAAGATTGTTAGATACATATTCCAGTTTAAACCAGACTGGTAAATATCAAAAATTAAAACTGACTTGTTGGTGTGCTAGCTTAAAACAGGTTGAAAGTTATGTGTAATCAATAAACAGGTGTATTAACTTAAATGATAATATTTAAATGAATATAAAATTGCAATTGAAGGTGAGCTAAATCTTTGAACTTTCAAGTAGTTTTAATCAAATAATGAAACTATTACTAGATAGAATATACGTACGGGTTGAGTGATTTTTATGATGTTTTAGTTGTGATTGATTCATTGTTAGAAAGCTATTTACAGACACAGGTGCAGAAATGTACGTTATACATTCTCTGCAAGGTAACAATGTTGTAATTACTTTTCTAATACTATATCTATAGTTATCGTTAGTTGTTGTTATTTTCAATTCCACTTTATATATCAGTAAGGACATTAAA